ATATTTAAAAAAAAATTATGTTGATCATTATATCCCTAGTAGCTCTTTTTAGTATTTGCCTACTAACGTGTGAGGTTCTGAAGACATAGTCCTACTGTCTTAATTGTATTTGCATTCTCAGCACCTGGCACCTGGACAGACACTTTACCAAGTATTGTGTGTTAAATTAAGTTTTTAAAAAAGGAGGTGGGGGTGACATAAGTAGACATGGGGTTAGGATTCTCCGTCAACATAGTATGGGATTAAGAGTACAAACCTCTGGAGCTAGACTACCTGGGTTCAAATTTCCACCTTGCCCCTTAGCTTTGTGTCATTCATTGACTAGTTACTTAACTGCCCAGCACCTCAGCTTGTTCGTATGTAAAATGGCAATAAGAAAAGAACCTTTCTCATATGTTTTTCGGTGAGAATTCAGTCAATATACATATATGCTAAAGCACTTAAAACCACGCTTGACACATAGTAATCATTTAATACATTGTAGTTGATATTTAGAGGACTGCCTTCAGATTAGTGCCTGGCACATAGTGGGCTTACAATAAAGGTTTGCTGAATGAATGAATGAATGAATGAATGAACATTCTGGTTTTGTGAATGCTTGTCTCCAGTTTTACCCATTTTCCCGTACTTTCCAGATAAGAAATATAGCAGAGGACAGCTTCTAAATTTAACCCTAGGTTGAGAGTCACAGGAAGTGATCTTGAGGTTGGGGTGGATTGAGTTTCAAGTCCAAATCCAGAGGGCTGAGTGTTTATAGTTGAGAGGACTGGTAACTGTGAGGGACAAGGGGCATTTTTAGTTGAGTCAGCCGGACCTCAGTGCCACAAAGAGGAATGTTCACATATTGGGGTGCCTTTCCCAGCATATTTATCTAGATCTCGTTCCACCTCTCTGAAAGGGAAAATAAGACATTTGGGGGGGCAGGAGGGAGGGTAGCTATCTGAATCTGTGCCAGTCACCTGCATTCTGACACACACTCTTGCTTGATGATAATTAACTCCATTCTCATCTGTGATGCCTGCCCTGCCTTGCAGAGCCTGTTTCCTGGAATACTCCCATTTTACAGAGGCCCTAAACCACGAACCATATACAACCCCCAGAGGGGGCTGGCAGCGCTAGTAACAGACAGGCCAAGCCTCCGAGTGTAATCTCACTTCCCCCGTCCCAACTCATGGGGGGCTGCAAAGCCCGCAAAAAGTCCAGAAGCCTCATCCATATTTGGGGGACAAAGAAACTAAGGGTATAAAGGGAAAGCTTCATCCATAGTCATCACTCAGGCTTTGGAAACCGCACTAGTGCATCTGTAATAAAGGGTTTTTCCTGAATGAATCTTCTGAGTACCGGTTGTGTGTTTTCTGGTCGCCTGGTAAATTCTGTAACATCTCCACCCTTCAGTTCTGTCCAAAATAAGAATCTGCCTGGCTGGTGTGGCTCAGTGGTTGAGCACTGATCCGAGAACCAGGAGGTCACAGTTTGATTCCAGGTCAGGGCACATGCCCAGGTTGTGGGCTCGATCCCCAGAGGAGGGTGTGCAGGAGGCAGCCGATCAATGATTCTCTCTTATCATTGATGTTTCTCTCTCCCTCTCCCTCTTTCTTCCTCTCTGAAATCAATAAAAATATAGTTTTTTAAAAAAGAAAAGAAACAAGCCCATCGATTGGTTGCCTCCTGCACATGCCTGGACAGGGGAGAAGCCTGCAACCAAGGTACCTGCCCTTGACCAGAATCAAACCCGAGATATTATTATAGTAGATCAACCTAGTAGGGGCTAAGAATTTCTTTAGGGAACGAGTAAGAGAGAAATCCAGGAAGAAAGACAAGGATCTAGACACAGAAACTCCTGAATTCCAGGTTAAGAAAGCCCTTGTTCTAAGGACACCAGGAGAATCCAGTGACAATGTTAGAGTGAGAAAATGATACATTAAAGAGTTTGTAGAAAGAATTATCTGGTTCAGAGTGGAAAGAAGTTGGAAAAAAGAGACCAATTCAGAGGTTTGTGTCAAATCCAGGACCTTACTAGGAATCCAAGGCAATAGGCAGAAGGAACCAATATAGACACCTTTTGAAGAAACTGAGAGACAGAGTATCTGTGTGTAAATTGGGTATTGAGAGGGAGGAAAATGATCTCTCTCTCTCTTTCTCTCTCTCTCTCTCTCTCTCTCTCTCTCTCTCTCTCTCTCATTTTGCTTTCTTGCTTTCTTTTAAGCACAATGATGTCTGTGTCAAAGATGACTTGGCTTCAAGCCTGGATATTGGATGATGGTGGTGGCTATGACTGTAAGGAGAGGAGGAACAACTTTGGGGGGTGCTGATTTAATTTTGGATGGATTGAGTTTTGGCTGTTGTGAGGACACTGAATGGCTACACAAAGCAAACAGTATAGTTTCATAAATGAGAGAGTGAATACTGAGGTCAGAGAGGATTTCTTGACCCTCATGGGGGCATGGAAAGACTCAAGACTGGGATAGTTGAATCACCTCTGAGTTCGCCTCTAGGTGGAAGAAGCCAACTTTCTCTGGGTAGAGGCAGGGCTGTGACAGTCATCCCAGGGCCTGAGTGTGCCCAAGAGTGAGGTTAGAGATATGTTAAAGACTGGGGGGAACAGTATGTCACTTTCAGAATGTCATTTAGGACCATTCAACAAGGAGATCAAGGGATAGATGAGAATTCAGCAGTTTGGGAAGATCTATGTTTCAATGTCATCTCTTTTATATACAACCAGAGGTTCCTCCTGTAGAGATTTTTTTTAGGTTACAATGCAATGCTGGCAGGTGAAATGTTAAAACGAGATGAATAAGTGAAGACCATTCCTGACACTTATGAAAGGGCACCAACCCCTCCTTTAGAGTTAAGCCTCTGTGCCTGACCTTCTCTCCTTGCTGGTGTCTACATCATTAGGACACTGTCTTTACTTCAATGCAGGAGCTTTTATTGCATGCTTTCAACGTAGAAGACACAGAGAATGAGAAAACACGGTCCCGGCCTAAATTTAAGGACCTTACAATCTCATCATAGAAGCCTGACAGACATGCAATAAGCTATTAACCACCATTGCAAGGCAGCATAGAAATGGAATAAATGACATATGGTTGGTCAGACTTCCTGGAAGAGAGAGCCTGAATGACTGGTAGGATCTGAAAGGGGGTGGTACAGGCAGCAGGTGCAAGGGCATAGGGCAGGCATTGTTCACAGTGTAATTTAGGGGAACATACTGGCTTCGGCACATTGGGGGAACTTTTAGTTAGATAGGGTGGGGCCAGACTGAGAAGATCTGGTAAGACATTTTTGTTAAGACAGCTAATACTAGAAACCAACTCAAGCAGGCTAATTTATATAATACTAGGGGCCCAGTGCACAAATTCGTGCACCTTGAAAGGAACTGTGGGCCATGAGGCTGCGGTGGGCACAGGGGTGGGTTTTGGCCCATCCTCCGAGTCCCTGCCCAGCCCCTCCCGCCACAGCCCGTGGTCCTCCGTTTGCTGACAGCCACACTCCCACCACCGCTCCCATGCGCTCATGGCACTGGCCCTGCTCACACCAGCTGACAGGAGCAAGAGGAGGTGGAGAAGCCCTGAGGGGTGATTGGGGCTGGCAGCTGCTGCTCACACCCGCTGACAGCGCTGAGCGATCGGGGCCAGTGCCAGGCGCCAGCAGCAGGTGTGAGCGCCCAGCGGGACCATGGCACGCAGGAGGGAGCAAAGAATTTTCAGTAACCACCAGAGGCTCACCTCAATGACAGCAACTGGCACTCGGCCTTGGTCTGGTGCTCTTGTTCACCCGCTCCATCATCCTGCTGCAGCTGATGCCCTCCATGTTCCACACTCTGCTGCCTGCTGCCGACACCCACTGTGTTCTATGCATGTCCCTGGGTGGTCAGCACATGTCATATAGAGCCCGGTTGTTCAGTTGTTCGGTTGTTCCACCTTTCGGTCTATTTGCATATTAGGGTTTTATATACATAGATGGAGGTTAGAGCCTAGATTCCAGAGTCATGTGGATTAGTGTGAACTCTGATTTCACCCATTGCTAGCTGTGTGACCATGGGCAGTTGCTTAATTTCCCTGTCCCTCAGTTTTCTCATATGTAAAATGAGGTCATACATGCAATTGTTGAATTACATACGATAATTTATATACCTGGCACATGCTAAATGCTCAGGAAGCTTTAGCTATCACGTTCTCTTTTATAACTCTCTGGATTGGCTGGAATCTTTTAGATGAGTGGAATTTTACAATCATAAAAAACAATAAGCATGGCCAGCAGGGCTCAATGGTTGAGCCTCAACCTATGAACCAGGAGGTCACAGTTCAATTCCTGGTCAAAGCCCATGCCCAGGTTGCAGGCTCAATCCCCAGTGTGGGGCATGTGAGAGGCAGCCAATCAACGATTCTTTCTCATCGTTGACGTTTCTCTCTCTCCCTCTTCCTTCCTCTCTGAAATCAATAAAAAAAATTCTAAAAAAAAACCAAAACCCCAAACAATAAGACTTTATTTTTAAAAGTTCATCATAGCTCACCCGTAGGGAGTGTCAGTGCTCTGAAGACTCCTGTGTCTGAATGAATGCCCAGTTTTAAAAGGTACTAAAATCTTAGACCCCTATAATCCTGAAGGAAAGAGAGACATCCCAGTTTCACAAGTGGGTAACTGGTCAGCGAACTTGGAATCAACTGAACGTCACATGGTAACTCCAGAGGAGAGATTTGGGGATTTGGGTTATTTGTCTTAGGGAGAATAATACTGGAATAAATAATTGCAATGAAACAGTTTCTTTCAACCATTGTCAGAGTGTATGTGAATCGGTATGGCATTTTTGGAAAGTAATCTACAGCATTACTAACCTTTTTTTTTTCTAAACATCAATTTGTTGTTCCAGTTATTTATGCATTTGTTGTTGTTTTTGTTTTGTTTGTTTTATTTCAGAGAGGAAGGGAGAGGAAGAAAGAGATAGAAACATCCATGATGAGAGAGAATCATTGATTGGTTGCCACCTGCATGCCCCACACTGGGGATGGAGCCTGCAACCCAGGCATGTGCCCTGACTGGGAATCGAACTGTGACATCCTAGTTCAGAGGTAAATGCTGAACCATTGAGCCATGCCAACTGGACTATTTATGCATTTGTTGATTCTTGTATGTGACCTGACCAGGGATTGAACCCGCAACCTTGGCGTATCAGAAGGATACTCAGACCAACAGAGCTACCCAGCCAGGGTGCATTACTATCCTTTTAATATATTTGTTGACCTAGTAATTCTCACCAAAGATACCTACCACACAGAAATGAAGGCACTGAAAAAAAAAAAGAAATGAAGGCACTGATATGAGAATAGATATACAAAAATATTTATTGCAGCATCATTTGTAGTTTTTTAAAAAAAATGAAAGCAACCTTAATATGCACCACAAAAAAAAATGGTTGGCCAAATTATAGCATATCTGTACTATGGAATATTAAATACCCAGTGAATACACTAGACTTACGTATTACAGTACCAGGATGTTCATGATACATTGTTATGTAACAAAGGAAAAGTGTGGAGTAATACGTGTGCTATGATTTCATTTTTGTTTAAAAAAACACACCAAAAAACAACTTTGTATGTATATATTTGTATTAAAATGGAGAAATGTGTAGAAGGGCACAAACCAAGCTATTAACATTGATTACCGCAGGGCTGTGGTGACTAAATGTCTATAGTTTGATTTGTTAAAATGAGCACGCACTGCTTTTATAATGTTAAATATATATATAGAGAGAGTAAGCTGATGTGAATTTGATGGGGAAATTAATATGAAGACCAAGATTGAGAAGAAATCAATGAGCTGCTTTAAATGAACCCTAGTATCCAAACCCTGAGTTACAAGCTTTAAAAAGGCCTCCTAAAAATACAATAAATGTTATCAAGCAGTGACTGGGGTCTTTGTTAGCTTTCCCTTCTTCCTTACCCCACAAATATCCCACCTACTTAGCCACGTTTCTGAAAATGAGGGCCGTATATCTGACACTAGGCAAGATGGTTGAAGGTAGCACATAGAGTCTATGTCATAGACCCAGCATTAGATAACATTAAATCTCATGGTACAATTACTTTTCATATTTTAATTTCCAACCCATGGATTACATATAGAAGAGAGTCCTGGGCATTAATAAATTTTTTGACACCTCTCTCATCCTTGCTAATCTTCCCTTTTTATAAGAGCAGAACAGGCCTAGGGCATGGAGCCTTCAGCAAGCCACAATATCTAGTTAGAAGTTTACACATTATTATTATGTTCTCATTGTAGTTGTTTTTAGGATTAATTTATGATAACTGAAACTGGCTTATCATTTATAGTGATAATCTCAAATTTCTGATGGGGGGCTAAATAACTTGTGAGATAATCTAAAAGTGCTTTAAAGCCCTGGCTGGTGGTCCAGTGGTTAGAGCGTGGGCCCTCAAACCAGAGTCTTCGGTTCGATTCCCAGTCAGGGGCATATAACTTGGTTGCAGGCTCGATTCTCAGCCTGGGTCAGGGTGTGTGCAGGAGGCAAGCAATTGATGTATGTCTCTCACATCAATGTTTCTCTTTTTCTCCCTCATTCTTCCTCTCTCTTTCCTTCCTCCTTTCACGCTCTCTCAAAATCAATGGAAAAATATCCTCGGGTGAGGATTTAAAAAGATTTTTTTTAAAATAAAAGCACTTTAAAGTAAGACTGTATTAGCCAAGAAACACAGGGCTGTGCCCAACCACAAAAAGGAGAAACTGCAGGTCCGCTCAATGTATCAGCATTTAGCATCAGCACCACAGGACACAATCTTGATCACAGAAGCATAACATCATTTACACATACTTTGAAGCAACAAGCAGCAGGGAAAACTGATCATTGTCTCATAAGAAGCAACGCTGTTACAATAACAGGAAATGAAGCCTAATATAGCTCAGGGTAAGAGATCTCTTGGGAGGTTCTTGCCAGGAGCCTGGGTGAATAAAGGGAGAGAGTAAGAAACGAGATGGTTTTGGGTTTGAAAAAAGAACTCCAAGCCTGCATATTGGAGAACATCTAGATTTTTCAAACTGACTGTGGTGGACTGTGCAGAAAATAAAGCATGTAAGTGAGTGTGGTGAAAACCAATAGCAATGGGACCACTTTAAAATGGAGTTGGAGTTACCATCCAAGGAACTGCTTTGCACATCTTATTCCTCAAACCTTTGGAATGTTAAAGAGGACACGATAATCTTTGGACTGGGCCTGAAGCAACATTCTATCCCAAACAACTGTCTGGAAATGTGACAAGAAAGCCGACATTATGACTACAGGACATTTTTTTTAGAATTAGCATCACTGTGTTAGCTCATCTGCATTTACAGAAACTCCTTCCTCCTGTTCATGTAATTGTTCCCCTTCCCTTTTTCATAAAACTCCTTCCCTTCGTCTCCTAATTGGAACACTATTTGGGTTTCTGCCTGACTCAGTGCTTCCTGGATAGCTATTCTTCTGGATCTCAAATAAATGCTTATTGCCTCTTACTTTGGCTTTTATTTTTAGATTAACAGTACATGGCATCCCCCGTCCCTTTGGCTGTATTTCTACAGCCTGGACAGAGCTCTCTCTTGGTGACCTAGGTGACTTGACTCAAATGGAGCAATGATAGCCTGTTGCTTATATCAGTTGCTCTGCTTTTACTTTGGAGAGCAAATCAGCATGTCAGCAGTTTCCTTTCAAAGCACGTTTATGTAGGTTTTTATATAAAAAAGCCTTGAACAGATATTGGCACACTGATATAAATAGCAACATTATTTACAATAGCTAAAAGGTAGAAGCAACTTATATGCCCAATGATGGGTGAATCAATAAACTAAATGTGGTATATGCATACATAGCATATTAGTCACCGTTAAAAAGGAAGGAAATTCTGACACATGCTACAACAAGGATAAACATTGAAAACATTATGCTAAACGAAATAAGCCAATCATAAAGGGACAGATATTGTATGAAATACCTAGAATAGTAGAATGCATCTACAATAATAAAAGTGTAATATGCTAATTAGACCAGACAGCCCAATGACTTTCCGGAAGTCAGGGTTGTGAGGGCCGAGGCAAGCCACAGTAGCTGCAAGGGCTGAGCCATTTGCACACATTTCGTGCGTTGGGCCTCTAGTAGAGACAGAAAGTAGGATATTGGTTATTATGGGCTGGGTGGAGGCAAGTAGAGAGTTATTTAATGGGTAGAGTTTCAGTTTGGGACGATGAAAAGTTCTGGAGATAGATCATGGTGAGGGTTACACAACAATGTGAATATGCTTAAAACCACTGAATTGTTGCTCACTTAAAAGTGATTAAAATGATTTTTAAATAATTAATTTAAAGGAAACAGTTAAGCTTAGAGGAATCCAGGTCATGCCTGGCCATGGAGAAAGTGGTGCAGGTGTGAGCCATTCCTCCCTGCGCCCCACTCCCACCCATCCATTCTCTGCTCTTCTCTGCCCTGCTTTTCCTCCTGAGCCGCATCACTGTGCCTCTTGCCCTCTAGCTTCCAGTTGTAGTCACTCAATGGGGAGCAGTGGCAGAGGAATGAGGGAGGACAGAAGAGTGAGGTTGGAGACTGTTTCCCTGGCTCCCTCCCTGCAATATTGCTGCCTGATGACTGTGTCCCTTGACTGAAGGTCCCCAAGCCCATGCTGGCTCCAGGTTCTGGTGCTCCTTCCACTTGCCTCCTTATACCCAGAGAGAGTAGCGGCTCCGACTGCCACTAGCTCTGCAGCTGCACTATCCTGCGTGGTTTCCCCATGTCCCACTAACACCTTTGTAAATAGTCCTTTTATTAAATTACCCAATTTGAATGCACCATCTGCTTCTTGCTAGACTGTGGCTGATACAAGACTATATGTAAAGGTCAAAGTTTAAGAAACACTGACACAAAGAAAATCTACCCGTATTTCCCCAAAGATCTCTCTGATCCC